TTGTTACCTTTGATTTTAGTAAATACCTTAATTTTACCTACACCTATTGGTGTTTTTCAGCAACAGCAATTTGGATTGGGTTATTTAGTATTAATAAATCTTTTTTTATTTAATACCTCACTCACTTCAGTCGTTAACATAAAACAGGTGCTTTCTTCCTCTTCATTACTGCTTTGATGATCTTCCTTTTCTGCCTGATGACTGCGTCTATTTCCAACATGTTGTGGAAACTTGCCTTTTCCTTGATATCCATAGTTAACATAATGGTATCCCCTGGTTACTCTNCGCTTGTTGAATAATATACTATAATCTATGACTGCTTGGATAAGTTATCATTACCGCACTCATTTGAGGTGATTTGAGTTACGTAATGAAGTTCATTAACGCACTGGTTTCATTACATAACACATTTTTAACCTAATCAGAACAGACTTAATTTATTGAAACGAGCTAAAAACAAAAGAAAAAGTGCTATCTACTTACAGAGAAACAATACTATTTATTGTAAACATTAATTGTTATGTTTTTACATTTCGAAACACTTATTCCAGATGAGTAAACATGTTGTTGAAACTGACAATTCAAAATTGTCAACAATCATTTCAAAATATTTTTATAAATGTCAAATAGACTTTTTTAAAGAAATTGATTTTTTAGTATTTTTTAGCAGTTATAGATAAAATGCTGTATATCACACGTTGGCTAGAGCATAATTACAGTACTCGTGTGATTACACGACTCGGTCTACGACCTCGTCGTGCAATTCTTCACACTCCTACAGTAGTTATGTTTCTAGCCCACTTATAATATGTATAAATAACTATTTCATCATTATATGATAAAGGAGTTATTGGTCCTGCAATATCTGTATGTACTAGTGATGTAAAGTTTAGTTACTTTATAGTATTAGTAACTATCCGTTACTTTCAGAAAAAGTATTCGTTACTTTGTACTCGTTACAAGTAATCGTTTGCATTTGCGTTCGAGTACTCGTTTGCGCTTGAGGTTTGAGTACTCGTTTGCGCTCGAGGTTCGATTACTCGTTTGCGATAGAGTACTCGTTTTAGTTGGACTACATACTTATATGAATTTATTTTATTTACACTTATTTTTGAAAACAAATACTGTACGTATATTATATTGTGTTTGTTGCGCTACTATGCACTGTGCAGTGCACAGTGTGCACTAATATCAAAAAATAGAGTATAGGTTATGGGATTTACTTTTTCACTGAATATTATAACGAAGATTTTTTCTTAATTATTATTATTTAATTATTAATAACTTACGTTCAAACAAAACTTCTTCTATAATACAAGCAATAATAAAATAAAATAAAAATATTAAAATAACAATAAAAGATGTTACAGCTTATTATTGCAATGTAAAAATAAAATTTTTTGCACATTTCGACTTTTAAGTCGATTTCGCCTATCCGACAATACTTGGCCAGCTTTGGAAAAAAACCTTTCAGATGGTACAGATGTTGCCATGGCACTCAGGTATTTTTTAGCAAGTTTACTTAATCTAGGATAAAGTATTTCTCTATCTTTTCACCATTGTAACGGATTTTGTTTCCTGTCCAGATATGCTTCTTCCAAATAACTTTTAAGCTCGATGCTAGCCATGCTGATTGGATTCATCGGTGCAGCGCTTTCACACTGTTCATCAAAATCTTGCCATATTAGGTCATTATTAGAAGCAGCACATGTTTCACCTCTTTCAGGGGAAACAACGACATGTCCTTGCTGATCTAAGTTAATTAAATCTATTATCTCCTCCTGAATAAAATCATATATTTTTAAGAAAGTCTCTTGTCTTCTAATAGCCTTTTGCTTAAATCGAGGATCCAAAAGTGCCGATTTCAGAAGGGCTTCATTCTCTTCAATATCTTCAAATCTGGTACTGATTTCATTTATGAGGGTGCTAATTAATGTTTTTGCTGTCTTTGATGTTGTTAAGGTTAAAATTTTGTTAAGAGATGACATTAATCCTCTAATCACTAAAAGTACTTTTGATATGGTGATTGTTTTCTCAGAGCTCATTTCTGTTGTTATTTGCTCAAACGGTTGTAGAATCTTGCAGATTTGTGACAGAGTATCACACTCATTTTCTGACAGGCTTTCCACAGGATTATTAAGCAAACCTATGGCCACTGCCAACGGTTGATGCATTTTAACTAAACGATCAAACATATAATATGTCGAATTCCATCTTGTAGGGACATCATTTTTCAGTGTTACTTGACAATTTGGCTGCATTTGTTTTTGTGTTGACATTAACTTATTGTGTGCTCGTGTACTTTTATTAAAGTATTGAACAATTCTTTTGACTTTTTGTTGAATTTCCTCTATATGTTTCAATCCACGTTGGACTACTAAATTTAGTGTGTGTGCCATACATGGATAATGTGACCACTCAGATTGTCTTATTGAATTAACAACATTGGGAGCATTATTTGTTGTAACCACATACATTTTTTCTGTAATTCCCCATGTTGTTAAAACTCGTTTCATTTCTTGTAATAGATATTGCGATGTATGACTTTGATCAGTACTGAAACATTCAAGAAGACAGGAATAAAATTTCCGGTCTTCAGTAATAAAATGTGCAGTAACACCAATATAGCTTTCATTAGCAATAGATGTCCATGCATCTGTTGTTAATGAAATAAATTGGGTTGTTTTTAATAAATCTCTTAATTTATCAGCAGCTTCATTGTATTTTTGTGGTAGAAAACTATTAGGAAATGTTGGTCGGCTGGGGATTTTGTATGATGGCTCCAACTGGCTAAGTAATTCACGGAAACCTTTATCATTGATTATAGAAAATGGCTGTAAATCTTTCAGGATCATATTTAGCACTAGATCATTAATTTTTTTTGCCTGGATAAACTTATTGGGCGCGAGATATATCCCGTTAAGGTCTGTTGTGAAACTTTCTGTCTCGTACTTGTCGATGTAGTCGCAGGATTCACCAATGAATTATCAATAACGTCCCCATTACCAATTGGTACCGGTGGATGCAAGGATGAGTGCGTTTGATCATTATCTGTGAATGAATATCCAAATTTTACCTAAGTTATCATTTTTGTTTGTTTAGTGACAATAACAAAAAAGTCACAAAAATACCTTCAAGACCTTGATGTTGTTTTGATACAGCCCTAGATGCATCTTGAATAAGGGTGAGGTGTTTTGATACAGCCCTAGATGCACCTTGAATAAAGGTGGGGTGTTTTGATAAAAGATGTTTTTTTAAATTTGAAGTGGTTCCTCCTTTGTAGGAATATTTACTTTTACATATATTGCAGATTGCTTTACTATTTGCAACCGCAGTAAAATGAAGCCAAATGTCACTTTGTTTTTGTTGTCCTTCTGCTGATATGATGTGTCTGAAGCAATTACATATATTTATCTTAATGTAGTGTTATAAAATGGGCAACCCCTTGTATCACAATAATTAATTAAACGTAATATANATTTAATACCTCACTCACTTCAGTCTTTAATATAAAACTGGTGCTTTCTTCATCTTCCTTATCTGCCTGATGACTGCGTCTATTTCCAACATGTTGTGGAAACTTGCCTTTTCCTTGATATCCATAGTTAACATAATGGTATCCCCTGGTTACTCTTCCATAGTTTTCCATGCTCCTTTTCTTTCAAATCCTTTTCTAAAGTTTCCATTATTATATCTTCCTCTGTTGTCTCTAAAGTAACCACGACTTTGACCTTGAAGTTCACTTTGATCGCTTGTATGGCAATCTCGTTGAAAATGTCCTGGTTTGTTACAAAGATATCATACACCTTGTCGATTGGAAATAAATGTGGCATGATTTAAGTCATTGGTATTTGAATTGTTTGTAATTATTCATCCCGTAGCTTTCCTTTTTTCAATTTCAGTTCTCAACTTTGATTTAGTCATTTTATAATTTAATCGTTTCCGGGAATATTTTTTAATACAGTTATTATTGTTTCGAAAGATTTAGGCACACCCAATAATAAGTTACACACAATGTCGTTTTCATTTATCTCTGCTCCAGTATTTTTCAATTGTCATACAATATCTTTTATTACAATTTACTTAAAAATACATCCAAATCTTCACCTTCTCTCAACTTCATACTCATCAGTTTCCTTCTTAACATTAATTGTCCTGGCATTCCTTTTTTTTCATATTTTTCTTCTAAACTTTTCCACATACTATATGCTGTATCCTTTTCTCTTATCAAATCAATTTGTGAATCACCCAAACATTGTACTATTAGGGATTTACACTTATTATCCATTTTTTTTAGCTTCCATCATTTTTTTCTTCTGTGTTTTTCCATAATCTTCCGTTTTAAATTCTTTTTCCACGCTTTTATCAACGTCTTTTTCTGTTAGTAGCATTTCAGGTATGATAATTATTAGCATTTATTCTCTCAATATTAAATGTATTGGAGCTCATTTTATGAATTCACTGGGCCCATAACCTAATGTTTTATTAAGTAAAACTGAGAAAACATTTTGTGTAACAATTTTATTTACAACACACTTTTTATTTATTTGTTTTATGTTTCCATAACTATTGTAATGACCTTTGATTGGAGGGTTGTGTGGTGAAAGGAAACCCAATCTTCCCTTTACTAATTTGTATTTTATTACTAATTCTTATACATTTTATCCTTCTAACTAATTCTTACACCTATTCGACTGTCGTTTTACAACGCCGACTCAATTACTTCCATATTTGCTGAGGTCTGTGGTGTATATTTTACCTGAGTTCAATACACCTCAGTTTTTGCCTACAATGCAATCTACCTTAACACTATATTAATATTATTTTAACAAGGCTAATTAATACAATTTATATTTCTAATAACTACATTACTATCTTATAAGGTAATCATTATTTAATTAAATAAAATAATTGAACAATACTAATCAAAATAAAATTGAGAAGTTATGTAAAATTGAGTTGGAGTTATAGATTAATAAATTTCTTTTTCGTGCTATTAGGTGCAAGTTTAGTAACAGCTTTAACAACAACAAGACATGCTTCAAAATTATTCGCAAGAGCTTGGGCGACATCACCAAGCGCAGTTTATCCAACGAAATCATTAATGGATCATGAAAAAGAAGATGAGACTCTCGTTAATAGGGTGAATTGCGATGAATTTTCAGATCAAGGTAAATGTTTAAGAGAACAAGATAGCTTGTATTTGATGAGTTTGATAGAACGTTCTTGGATACAACCCCAAACGGATATTCCGTTAACGGATGAGAAACCAGAAACGCGTCACCAATGGATGGTTTTGGATGGGAAAATTTTAAATGAGAATCCGTACGAAGTTTGGAGTAGCGACGAAGGAATTTCAGTTCAACTGGTGATCGGAGTCACCGCGGATTCTTTAGCGACCGACAAATTGATAATGAAACATGAGTGGAACGAAGATTTGGTGGTGAATCATGTGAAGAACTCGATATTGGGCGATTTAAACTTAGTCGATGATGTTTTTCAAAGATACCCAAAAAATTTTAAAGGTTTAAGTGGGATTATTTCCGATATACGCTCAGTTTGTCCTTTGTATCAATTATATGGGAACATGAAGAATACTTCGTTTTATGTTGTTACGCAAACAAGGGGTGCGCAAAATTTATCAGACGTCAACTCGGATATCGACGCGATTTTAGGTCGGTATGAGCCGAAAACTCCAGAACAACGACGATATTTCTCAGCTATTCAACAGTTGTTTTATCACTATGTGTGGCATGGTGAAATCGATGAGAGAGCTTCGAATAGTATGTTAATCGTTGATCAGGATGTTAGAGCAGAGGATTCATATAAGAATTGTGATTTTTGGATTCAAAATAATATGACGAAATACGCACAGTCGGATTAAAAATGGGCAAAGATGGGAAATTTGACTTAAAAAACGTATTTATTATTAACAAATGTACTCCAAATGAGATTTTTGTTCCTTTAATACTCACTATTTTTGGTTTGAAAAATTGTTTTAAATACTCGGTGTTTTATAAAAAATACGCCTGAAGTGCCCTGAGTAAATTGTTATGTTGGCGAAGGGAATCAAATTACTGATATTTAATAAGGATTTTTTAGTATTTAAATATATTCTCATTGAGTTCATGTCCAAACTTTTTTACTCATAATGTTCTAAGTAGGTATCTGTAAATGGTTATTATTCACTTTTTACCTTATTAAATTAAACCACGAACTAAATAAACATTTTTATTTTACTCAATACATGATACTTTTATCTATTTATAAAAATAAATAACATAATAATTGTAGGATAATTGTATAACTTCTTTATAATATGATGATATTATTTAGTACTGGATTTATTTTTCTATATCTTAAAATAAAATCAGTTTAGCATGGTAATATTCAAAATGATTGTAGTTAATGATTTTCAAATTTCGAACGGTAGTAAAATTTTATATCTTGCGAAAGTATTATAAAAATTAAAGACATTCAAAATGAGAAGACTGCATTTGAATCTTGCCAAAATTTTTTAAACGTCTATGTAAATATTTAACAATTTTTAAATACTCTCTGATAATGATCTCTTTATTTTTTTTGTAAATTTTTACTCTCGAAAAAAATGTACTTAGTACTTTGTATTTTTTGTCCTAATTTAATCTCATTTTTTTAGTTGATAGATAATTAGATTGTAAGATCATATTTGTGATATCCCTAAGTAGCTTTTATATGTATATCAAATGTATCCAAGGCTGCGGATGTGGTGTATTCACCTCAAAAAAGAGATTATGTAAGAATAATATTATTTCTATGATTTTTTTATACGTAACACAACCCCCGTAATTAAAATAATGGTAAAAGAACGGCGCTAGTATGTAAACAACGACACAACTTTTTTAATAAAGATAGCTTTTATCGTAATGTTATATTGTTTATTTATCATTTTGGGTTCATTTATAGAAGGGGGCTGTCACATAGTGTTAGGAAGTTTGAAATTGCCGGCCATAACATGATTTTACTAATTTTCTTTTTTAATATTTTAGCAATTGGGGAAATTGCTGATGTTAGGTAATACTCGCTACTCCGCAATAACCACTTTTTATTAACTTCAACTCTGGATAAAATTGACATGTAAAGTTAACATTTATTTTGCATAGGGTTACCATACGTCCCGGTTTAACCGGGATTGTCCCGGTTTGGGACAATCGTCCTGGCGCACTATGGAAAATTTAGTCCGTTTGCTGATCAAAAATCAATACCTTTTTTATTTTTAAAGATAAACCTTTCATACTTGGTAAGAATATTACAGGAAGTAAGAGTACCAATTTTCTTTTTATTATTTTTTATTATTTATTATTATTTTTATTTCCTCGTATATACGAACTATATGAAGACAACTTCTGTCCCAAACTACCGTTTCGAGGTTGTGATGAATCTTTACATTTGATGGTCCTAGAATCTATTTTGACCATTTTAGCATTACATCTGTACATATGTATCTGTTAGTATATATTATATACGTGCGTTCGTATACACGATACTCAAAGACGCAATTATCTACTTCCATGAAATTTGGTATGTGGCTATTAAATTAAGACGGTTGATCTCTACCAACTTTTGGAACAAATCTGTCGACCGGAAGTAGCAGTTTACTTTAACAGATTTAGAAATAGTTAAAAAATTTTGTAGAAATCTGAATAAGAATAAATAACTTTCAGATACAAAATTTCTACCATCTCACATAACCGGAAGTAGTACTTTACCTGAAACTGTACTCATTTGTTTCATATAAGCTGGTACTAAGTAAAATAAATTATTAAAATTTTTTATAAGCCTTTATATCTGAAAAATATATAGATAAAAAATTACATTGAAATCATGAAACCGAAAGTACTATTTTACTTAACAAATCACTTCCACCTGCAATTTTACATATAGGAGTTAAAATAAAGAAACTTCTAGAATTATTTTGAATTTAGTGCCCTTTTTAAAAGTATTTTTCCAAAAATTTATTTTTTAGCCATATAAAAATGTTAGAAAGTCGAGTGTAGAGCACTGTAGTTTTGTTATTATTATGCAATTCAATAAAAAAAAAATACAAAAACTGCATTATTGGTTGATAGAATGTATCTTTTTATGTTTTTCATTTAATGCCACCTCTTAAAAACAGGAGTAAAATATGTTAAACAATTTTTTATATACATAATTACAGGTATACACAATTATATGTATATTTTGTTAATTTTTTTATGAATATTATTGATATTACAGAGTAATATTATTATTGAAAAAAACCCTAACTGATTACAATCTACCTGAGATATAAATATTATAATACAATGTATAATATATGTATAATATTGTTTAACTCGTTCAATATTCCATCATTGCCTGACACTGTTCAACTTATTCAATTTAATTTTCAGAAACCAGGTGATGCTGTGTTAAAAGAGCTAGGGTTTCTTCGTCAAGTTTCTTTACATTTTTAATGCACTGATTTGTAATATTCGTTATGTATGGATCTGATGTATAAAGGAGTATATAAAATACATCTTCGTTTGTAGCATATCTAGAACATTTTCGTGCATGATGTAGTCTAAATTTTTTGTAATCATTATTTCGAGATTCCTGTGCATCTTCTGATAGCTGTCCAATAGGTAAAATTGCAAAATGTCGTATGATACGTTCACCATGAATTAATATTTTATGTACGGAAGATGGCATGTAATACCAGTCATAATTTTTAATGTATATTTTTGCCGTTTCCGTAACACCCGATGTCAACACCTGAAAAATTATGTGAAATCGCTTAATCAATATTTCGTCGACACTGGTAATTTCTGCCGAAGAAGAAGCATTACAAAAAAAATCTTTTAGCAGTATTTCCATCGTTTGTATTACCACTTATTTCTTTGGCTCATCAATAATCAAACCAAGCTATTTGCGGAATCGTGCCTGGACCAAAGCTTTCTTATCTCTTTTTAATTGTTTATTTTCTGCGGTAGTAGCTGACCACTTTCGGAAGGGTAGATAATATGATATGTGTAAAATCATCTCCATGCAACGTATCGAGGCATGTATCATTGACAAACCATAGCGAAATGCATTATCATTTTCTGGTCTTGCTGCCACCTTTTCTAAATTATTCATTTGCTGTGGATTAGCACCGCAAATAGTGCATGTCGAACATGAAGATGTACCTGCTATTATTTGGGCAACTTTTCCATCTATCATAGTGAGAAACATGTCATGTTTGATTTGTATTGCTTTTCCTTGCTTTGTAATTACCGATGAACTCAAACTACCAATTTGACTTTGTATATCATCCACAACGGCTTTTGTTTTCTCGGGAGTCTCTTTAGAAACTCGATTGAAATTGGTCGACAAATCCGCACAGAAGAGGGGACAGGATTTTGCCACACTACCGTACTTGTGTGATTTAATAAATCTTGTAAAGATGTTACCTTTGCATATGTATTGCTGATTTCTATGCTAGAAACAGGTTGATAACAGCTTTTTTTACTTTCCTAGATGTTGTGATAAGAAGGTGGCAATAAAAAGCAGCTTTTCTCATTGGTTAGATTTCTAAGGTATAAATATTGTGCTTTAGTGAAATCTAAATCAATGTAAACGCTTAATGCTTCAACTACAGTCAATGGTTGTGATTTATCATGGTGGATCTGTTTTAAAATTGCTTTCTTTTCATCAGGCTGCAAATCTCTTATAGTCTCCACTACATTTGCTTCATCACTTTCTCCCATTGACCGTAATCCCTGAATATACGCACTGTATATACGATCAAATCCATATTCATTTAGCAATGTGGTATTTTTTCGTCTCTTACTAGATGCTGCAGAATCTTCGTAAGGTAGATACGGTCTTCCTCTCTTTTCATTAGATGTAGATGGCATGGAACCAACAGATTCGTCGCATTCTTCATTTAGAACAGATAAAGATACAGTATACTCCTGGTTTAACCAATCATGAGCCAAATGATTGGCTCAATCAATATTACCAAAAAAATTAAGTGCGCCATTGGCCGTTGAAGATTTATTCACGCCAACTAAATTAATGGGCAACAAATAGTATTGATTCTTCCGATATTCTGAAAATTGATTATATTCTCGTGATATTATTATTCTGTATGCCAAGTTTAAGCTACCTAACCTAAGAAAAGCCATATTGCATTTAAGTTATGTACGTCGTCAATAAACAAGACACTTATAAATAACACTTCCGTGCGTGACGTGGACTTCTTAGTTTTCTGGTCATAACTTCTAAATAGGCAAATGTTGGCAGCTAATTTTTTTTATATGTTTTAAAGAAATAAATAGTCTTTAAAACTATATGTATATATTTTAGACCATCGCTAAACATCGCTAACTGCTAAAACTTTAGCGAAAGTTAAAGAAATCTCGAAATTGATGTCATCGGTTTATTATTAAAATGCAACGATGAAATTACTTATTGATAGCTAAATTAGGTACTCCATTGAACAACCTTTTCGGGAAGATATGACGTTATATAGGTTTGACACTAAAAATTTATATTAGCAGTCTTTAAAAATCATGACAAAAGTAACCGAAATACGTGAAATCAGAGATATATAAACTTTGATAATTTTTTTTTACTTAAATACGTCATATAAAAATAAAACTTATGTTAATTATTAAAATCTGACATTTCTACTATAGGATTCAATTGAAAAAAGAAATACATTACGACTTTCGAAAAACCCATTTATGATCAGCAAACGGCTCAAATTGCCCATAGTGCGGCGCACAGAAGCGAATTAGTTAAAAATCTTGGCCAAAAAGATATTTTTGTCAATTTTTTACTTCAAAATTAGTGGAAATTAAAAAATATCTGTACAATTAACAAGGATGAAGTATTTTATGATATACTGCGATTTTATTTCGTTGTATCTACATATATTTTTATATATAGGGTGGTCCGTTACTACTGGGACACAGAGGAACAGTGAATTTCTTACATTAAATTGTTGCGATTTAACCCAATTTATGTTAGTCCAATTGTTAATAATAACGAAAATACAGATGATTAAAGTTAATACTTTATTTTCAGTTTTCTTTAAATATTTCGTTTTCTCTTGCATTATGACCATGAAAATTGGTACATTACTATTTTGTAAATAATAATTTGGTATTAGTTTTTCTTCACTTTGAAGCACAATTACTTTCTATCACAGAGATACGTATTCCTAGACGTGTATTTACAAACAAACCAGTAAATGTTCAACTTTGCGCATTTTGCGATAGCAGTGAAAAGGCATATGCAGCCGTTGTTTATATTCGATGTATTGACGACAATGGCGATATAAGAGTTTCTTTACTTTGTTCCAAGACCCGACTAGCGCCATTGAAAAGAATTTCATTGCCACGCTTGGAATTGTGTGGAGCATTGTTATTGGCTAAATTAGTTCATCGAGTAAAAAATGATCTCGACTACAATATTTCTAAAGTATTTTATTTTACTGATTCAACAATTGTATTGAACTGGCTCAACAGCAGCCCAACAAGATGGAAGGTATTTGTTGCGAACAGAGTGGCGAAAATACAAGCTCTCAGCATAATCGATGATTGGTATCATGTTACAGTAAAGGAAAATCCAGCCGATATTCCAACACGTATTCATGATATAACCAAATTAAATGAAACAATGTGGTGGAATGGTCCGAAATTTCTCCACGATATTCCTGAAACTTGGAAATTGAATAATAATATCGAAGTAATTGAAACAGAATTAAAGAGAGAATTAAAACAACAAGCAGTTACTCTTGCATGTAGTCGAGTAAATAATTTCTTGACCATGTTTTCATCACTCAACAAACTAAAAAGAGTGGTGGCTTACACACTAAGATTTAAACAAAATTCATCACGACCACACGAGCTTAGAATACT